GGCAATTGTACTGTACACATGGATCCTCACTAATGGCTTTAATATTGGGGGGAGATTTCCCTCCAATTCCCCCCCAAAAAATTTGAATTCTAGTGTTATAAAAAGGGGGGGTAATTCTCATTCTAGGAAATCACTTTCATTTTCTCTCAACTTCCTAGATTTCCTCTCTTCTAAGGTAATTTCTTCTCTTTATCATTTTTGTTGTCATGTATAAAACTATCCTTTCTTCTCCTTCCAATGAAAAAAATGATGGGGGATGTAGTGATTCGACCGGACCTTCGTCGGAGGATGCCGGAGGGAGTCCGACCGACCCACGGGGGGGTCGGTCGCCGGCCAGCGGGGCTGGTTGCTCGACCAGCCCTGCTGGTCGACCAGCTGGTCGACAGTCGACCAGCCAAGGGGCTGGTCCGTCGACCAGCCATAGGGCTGGTGCCAGCCCGAAGGCTGGTCGACCTACGGCCAGCCCGAAGGCTGGCCGTCTACCGCCGTCCATTGATTCTCGTGGTTTGTCTGGTCCTTCGATCCGCCCTTGTAGTGACTTGCCCCCTTCATCTAGCAAATCCCTTTATGATAGTGATAGTGAAACTCATTCAATTGACTCTCAGCCATTTGTTCCAAATCTCCCAAAGAGACACATTGGTTCTTTCAAATCTCCAGGCCAAAACTTGGAAATCGGGCGTGACCCGGCCGGTGAGGTTGTCCCCTTAGATATCCCAAAAAGTTATAGTCTCTACAATTCGCCACTCAAGTTAGAAAAATGTCTAGGAAAGTATGACCGGGTTGATGATTACGTCTATAGAGCCCCCGGTCCTAAAGAAAAGCTCCCCGGGTCCGACCCCCGTGAGATAGCCATGTACAAGGATGTTATGGACGGGGGTTTTCGGTTCCCCATTCATCCCTTTTTTGTATCGATTTTCAACGAGTTCCACCTTACTCCTAGTCAAATTAATCCTAATGCATGGAGAAAAGCGTTATATTTTTTGTACGTCTGTCTTAAAAAGGGAATTTCACCTTCCATGGATCTTTTTAGGTGTATCTTCGAAATGCATGAGTTAGTTCAATGTAATGCCTTTGTCTATTTTACCACTAGGGTACCTATGCAATTCCCTAAGTTTAGGAATTCAAATAGCGGATGGAAGTCCCGATTTTTCTTCGTCCGGCCTTCAAAGGGTCAGTTTTCTTTTAACACAAATTGGCGACACTCCCAAATTCGTCTCTTCAATAGCCAAGTAGAAGCTACTCCCTTTCTAGAAGCTCAAATCCAGGACTTGGTTGATGTTCCGCCCCTTGCGCCTGACTTAGGGTCAGTCCTTACCATGAAGAACATGTTGAAAGTGGGGATGAGTCGTCCAATTGGTAGGTCGTTTATGTTGTTTTTCTTTCTCTCTTTTTTTTTTTTTTTTTTTAGCATGCACACACGTTCATTTTTTTTTTTTGCCTTTAGCTCGTCGAGACTAACGAGCTTGGATGTTTGTTTCAGGTATGGACTTTGATCTTGATGAGGTATTGAGGACTCTGCCAAGAGGAGATGAGGGCCTTACCCTCGTTGATGGTAAGCTTTCATATTCACCCCCACCCTCTCTTCCCCCCCTCTTTCTTTTTTTTTCTTTTTGGTACTCTACCTTGTGCCCATCTCTCATTTTTTTTGTACTCTACCTTGTGAGTTTAACTGATTTCAACTTACGTGTGCAGGGGCCGAGCTTGATCTGGAAGGAGTCATGGACTCCATGCCTGACCAGGGGCAAGAGGGTGAGGTGGATCCTTTGCCTATCCCTTCAAAGAGAAGAAGGGGAGCCGACCTTGGGAGAAAGTCTCAGACGATCAACGAGACTTCTCAGCCTTTAGATGAGCCTCGTGATGTGGTTCCAGCTCCTAGGCCGGGAGCTCCTAATCGTGCGTGATGTGAGCGTGAGGACTCGCTTCCTAGCTTTGGGTTTCCTCCCACCCGGGGCTATCATGAGATGGGGGTGCTTAAGTCGTTGGTGACCCCTGCTCGATCCAGAGCGATTGCAGGGCGCAACGCAGATGACATAGAAAGGGCTGCGGCTGTTTATCTTCAGAGGGTATGTTTCTCATTTCGAGATTTTTTATTTTTATTTTGGATCTCGCTTTTTAAGTTAGACCTTAACTCGTGGTTTCACTCTTTTTCCCCTTATACATTTTTTTTTTTTTAGGTGGTGGCCCTACAGACCGGACTCGCTGAGTCGAATCGCCGCCTAGCCTCAGAACTGAAAATTCTTACCGAAGAAAACAAAAAGGAGGCTCATCACCACAAGAAGAAAATATCATCCTTGAGGAAATCTCTGGAGATGTCGGACGCTCGAGCTCATGAGCAAGAGACGGAGATCGACAACTTACGCTCTGTTTTAGCTCGTGCTCCTGAAGAGGCGGTTGAGAGGTATAAGGCCTCAGGTGAGTATGCTGGAGATCTCAAGGCGGCTGTGGATCAGTATAAGATATCGTCCGATTATGCTAAGGCTTTGAACTCATACGGGGGGAAGGCGATGTCTGCATCAATTAAGCTCTCCAAGGAGTGGATTATGGCCGAACATCCTTCTATAGACCCCTCCGGCTTGGATAGATTTCTCGCACAGCGCAAGGGGAAGGAGAGCGTAGCTCAGTCATCCAGATCACTTGGTCGTTCATCACAAGGGGGTAGTGGGGATGTCTCCCCTTCGAGCTGAAGCGTTACTTAGTTGTTGTTTTCCTTGCTAGTTTTTCCTTTTTAGTATTTACTTTTGCTCAGCCTTGTTATCTCCTACTTGCTCGGGATGTGGGCAAGAATTCTTCGAATGTATAAACACATCTTTTATTCGATATTATTGGCGCTGGATGCGTGGTTCCTTTAAAATGTCGTCTCTCATGTTATTTTTCTTTTTACTGCTTGATGGTGCGGGGGAGTGTTCATATATATATATATATTTTCCAAGGCTCTCCACCTAGTCGCGTATGCTATGTCGACCGCAGGGGGTGATTTGGTGGTTAAGGGCCTTAGCCAATTTTTTGACTCTTCAAGGCTCTCCACCTCAATTTTTTGACTTTCCAAGGCTCTCCACCTAGCCGCATAGGCTATGTCGACCGCAAGGGGCGATTTGGTGGTTAAGGGCCTTAGCCAATTTTTTGACTTTCCAAGGCTCTCCACCTAACCGCGTAGGTTATGTCGACCGCAGGGGGCGATTTGATGGTGGTTAAGGGCCTTAGCCAATTTTTTGACTTTTCAAGGCTCTCCACCTAGCCGCATAGGCTATGTCGACCGCAAGGGGCGATTTGGTGGTTAAGGGCCTTAGCCAATTTTTTGACTTTCCAAGGCTCTCCACCTAACCGCGTAGGTTATGTCGACCGCAGGGGGCGATTTGGTGGTGGTTAAGGGCCTTAGCCAATTTTTTGACTTTCCAAGGCTCTCCACCTAGCCGCATAGGCTATGTCGACCGCAAGGGGGATTTGGTGGTTAAGGGCCTTAGCCAATTTTTTGACTTTTCAAGGCTCTCCACCTAACCGCGTAGGTTATGTCGACCGCAGGGGGCGATTTGGTGGTGGTTAAGGGCCTTAGCCAATTTTTTGACTTTCAAAGGCTCTCCACCTAGCCGCATAGGCTATGTCGACCGCAAGGGGCGATTTGGTGGTTAAGGGCCTTAGCCAATTTTTTGACTTTCCAAGGCTCTCCACCTAGCTGCGTAGGCTATGTCGACCGCATGTTTTAGTGGGGTAGGCGTGGAGTTCAAAGTTGCCCGTTGGCATAAAAATTCCTGGTCTTGTGAGCTCAGTAGGCGCACCGGGACGTCCCAACTAGGCTGGCCCTTCCGTAGCGCCCTCATCATCCGTCACCGCCAAGGTCTTTCATTGAATAAGATAAATTATTACAACTAAGGGTGCCTTTGTGAGGCATTACATAGAGAAAATAAGCAATGCAACCTAATCTACTATATTTACAAAAGCGCAGCCGGCGAGTACATTTTGAGTTCTACTGATAATACTTTTTGAGGTGTTCTGCATTCCATGGTCTACCTAGCGGCCTTCCTTTTATATCTTTCAAGCTGTAAGCTCCCTTTCCCAGCCTGCGAATCACTTCGTACGGGCCTTCCCAATTTGGACCAAGCTTGGGTGGGGGGTGTCCTGCCGCTGCTGCATCTCTCAGAACGAGATCTCCTGGCTGGAAGACCCTTGGCTTCACTCTCCGGTTGAAGTACTCAGCGGCTCTTCGTTTATAAGCCATCATTCTTATCGCCGCTTTGTCCCTTACCCCTTCGAGGAGGTCGAGCTCTCCACTAGTTGCTGCGTCGTCGGGTTGCTTGACTTTCATCCTTCCTGTCTCGCTTAAGATCTCAACCGGAACCACGGCTTCCATCCCGAAGGCCAGTTTGAATGGCGTCTCCCCGGTCGACTCTCGGGGGGTAGTGTGATATGCCCACAGTACATTGGGCAACTCCTCAGCCCAAAGTCCCTTTTCTTTTTCTAATCTTGTCTTCAAATCCCACAGTATGGTTCGGTTGGTCACTTCCGCTTGCCCATTTGCCTGCGGATGAGCAACTGAAGTCAGCCTCTGGTCGATGTGGTAGCTGGTGCACAAGGCTCTAAAACTGTGATTATCGAATTGTTTTCCATTATCTGTAATGATTACCCGAGGTATACCAAACCTGCATATGATATTTTTCCAAACGAATCCCTGTATCTTTGCAGTCGTGATGGTAGCCAAAGGCTCAGCTTCCACCCACTTAGTAAAGTAGTCGACGGCAACTAACAAGAACTTCCTCTGTCCTTTTGACATGGGCAAAGGTCCCAAGATGTCCATCCCCCATTGGAAGAAGGGACACACCCCGAAAACTGCCGTCTGTTGCTCGGCCGGAATGTGGATCAGATTTCCATGGCGTTGGCATGCATCGCATTTTCTCACCAACTCTCTAGCATCTTCCTTAATACTGGGCTAATAATATCCTTGTCGAAGCGTTTTGAACGCGAGGGTAGTCGCCCCTTGGTGGTTGCCACAAATTCCCGCATGTACTTCGACTAGCACCTCGCGTGCTTCTGTCGGTCGCAAACACTTCAAATATGGCATTGTGAAGCCTCGCTTGTAGAGTTGCCCATCGATGATGGCAAATGAG